GCAGCCAGGTGGCCCTCAGCATCCTGACCTTTCCATCCTGCTCCTGGGCAAACACCCCTGTTACAGAGAGCGATGAGAACACGGAGAGCAGATGGTTCAAAATCCATCCTCTGGGTGAGGCAGAGCCACTCAGGACTCTGACAGCGCTCCCAGCCCTGCCTGTGGTCTGTTCCCCTGGTTACAACTCGTCCCTTCTCCCTCTCTGTGATGTTTTATCCTCTGCATCTTCCCAAAGCACGGTGTGTAATCCCAAAGCAATGCATTATGCAGTGGCACCAGGAATCTCATTTTGTTTTGCTGCGTTGGGTCCCAGCAAGGCAGTGGCTGCAGAGGACTCAAAACCAAAGCCTCTCTTTGCCTTCATATCTTTGCCACTTATTAAAAAGTGCAGGGAGAAAAGCAGCAGAACAAACCCACACCTTGGCATTTTGCTCCCGAGAGCATCAGTGAAACGGCAATTAAAAGGAAGTGCAGCTCTCTGCTGCTGGTTGAGCAGGTTTGATGGGTGCTTTAAAAGGAAAAAAGGCAAAAAACCCACGGTGTTTCACATGCCTCCCTGTCATTTTTCACAGGAGAATGCCCATTAAAAGCCAGAGCCATGAATTCCCATGTAAGGAGCTCAGCCTGGTCCTGCTGGGTGATGAGCACTGTCTGTGCAGAGATTACTCAGGGTTGCTGGGCAGAGGGGCAGCCTGGCTTGTTCAAATATTCCCAGAGACCTGGACAAGCTCTAAGCTGCTCCCTGCACCTGTGTCCTCCCCCCAGGTTGGTACTGCCAAGGGAGAAGTACCCACAAGTGTCAAACACTTCCCAAGTAAGTTTTGAATGCTGTTAATTCTTTATGTGATTCTTTTCCTGGGAGAAAAAGAAGCAAGGCTGAGCAACTGAGTGAATGTCTTTGACCTCTAAAATACAGCTGGGTGTGCTAGAAGCACATCCTGCCTAAAATAAAAGTGTAAAACTACCAACTTTGACTTTTTTTTTTTTTTTTTTTTGGCCCATCTCACCCCTCCTGTCCCCCTTTTTCTCTGATCACAACCAGCTCCCCTCCCTGCAGGAGGGTTTTGCAGTTGTGCTTGATCCCAGCCAGCCCAGCTCCAGCATGGAGCCCAACTAATAATCCCCCCAGAACTTATTAGCTCAGGTTTTGTGGAGTGTGTGGCCTCTAATGAGGGTGTTCTTCACTGTTGAGGGAGCACTGAACTAATGCCCCCTCAGGGTGGGCTCTCCCAGGCTTCAGACCCCGCTCAGCGTGAGAGGACGTGGATGATTTGTAATGCAGGTCTTTCCACTGCTATTCAGGGAGGTCTCCCCGCTGCTAAGGTTGGTTTGCAACAGCTTTTTTGAGCTGCTGGGAAAGTTTCAGGGTACTGGAGGAAAGCTGGATTTGTACCACTGTTAAAAAACACACAGAAGAAGTGAAAGAAAAAGTGCAAATTGGTGCAAAACTCCAGCGTGGATGCTCTGTGGGTGCCTCTTTCTGTAAGAAAGGGTGATACAACCTCAACATGGCACACTGAAAAGGATTAAAACCTAGTCTGATATTTGATTTCAGGATGGATTTACTGATTTTTGGTTTTTGGGGCGAATCAGGTGATTGTGGTTTTGAACAGCTTCTGTGCCCCCTTTTAACTATGTGTCTGTTTTCTTCTGGAAGGAACTCCTGAAACTTGTGTGGGGTCAGAAGTTTGAATGGCCCTACGTGAAGAAGATGCCTCAAAGCAGAGTCATTCAACATCTCTAATCAATCCCTTATGCAGATAAGGGCAACATGGTGATGGTCTAAGAGAGAAAATGGGAGAGTGAAAGACAGGTCACCTTTTTGATCTCCTGCCTATTTGGGGCCTTCCCATTGAATTTTTACAGGGAATAAAGGCAAGATCCCAGCTTTGCTCAGTGGAGCTCAGTTGGGAGTGACAAGGTCCCCAGATCACTAACCTGGGGTATCATCACCATCATGGCTGGTGATGAGGGTCACATTTAGCAGTGAAGGTACAGAGCCACCACAGGTGATCTTTAAGCTGATTGTCCATTTTCCCAAAGGAATCTTCCTGTTCAAACAGGATTAATCCCAAGCAGCGGGGTCTTCTCCTTGGGAGGTTGGACCGCGGCTTTCAAGCATGGTAGGAGGTGATGGTCCCTCTGGTTTTCCTACCAGTCATGTAGGACTTCAGATGTCAGCCTGGCAGACTCCCACAAACTCTGCCCTGCTTTCCTAGCACAGCTATTTTTTGGTGTGGAAAGCAAGGCCCACGAAGGCAACTCGCTCCTCAAGGTCTGCGTGGCCGAGCGCGGTGGCACGTGGAGCTCTGGGCTCACCTGAGGGTGGTGATGTTGGCAGGAGCACGATGCCAACGTGGTGACACTCCTACAGCCCCATTAATTCACCCATTACTCAGGCATGGAGCTGCCTGGCACCCTGCAGAGACATGGGTCAGCCTGTCATGTGACGTCCAGGCTGGTGGAGATGATGACACATCATGTTTTGTGGAGTCTTCCTGAAGTTTGGAAGAGGAAGAACAGCCTGAAGAACCACGTCCTGCTGCTCTGGACTGTGACAGTGGGTTTTTTAGCTTAATAGCCTGATTATCTCACTTTCTTCTCTCTTACTGCACTTGTTCTAATGCCTACAGTGACACACAGTGGTGATGGGTTTGTGCTCTGCCAAAGCACTTGCCTTGACATGGGAGGTACAGGACACTGTGGGTGGTGGGGATGGTGACTGCCAAGCTCCCCTTGCAAGAACACACTGCCCTGGGCTGCATCCACCTGCTGCTGGGACTTGGGCTGCACACTGCTCCTCAGATGGCCAGATAAGGAAGCTTGGGAGCTTTTTACTCTTCCATCCAATATATTGCTCATTTCCTACTGAGGTTCTTCCCAATCAGCAGAGAACTGCAGGTCTCAGAAGCTGATTTGTACCAGAAATGCCACACTCAAATCCTCTATTTTCTGTGACAATGCAATTTTTTTTTTATCCCTGTGTAAGCAGCCACTGAAATGAAAGTTCACTTTTGGCTGTTGGATTTGGCTGTTGCTCCTCATGCTCTCGTTGTGCCGGAGAGCCCAGCAGGCAAATGTGGCTCCCTTGGTCCTTAGGAGAACATTCTTCATTGTCACTGGGTGTGTTCGCCTTCCCTCTCCAGGTGCTGTGTTTGTAGATGGCAGTTTTCATCAGGATTATTTCATTACTCCATTTCTGAAGATTTTTGGATTTTTTTTTTCCCACTTGCTTTGAGAAGGAAAATGATCAGATGATGGGAAGTCTTGGGCTGTCTTCCTGCTTGAGCTTTGCTCCACTTGGTAAACTGGAGAGTGGCTGTGTAGAATCATAAATCACAGACTGGTTTGGGTTGGAAGGACCTTAAAGCTCATCTAATTCCACCCCCCTGCCACGGGCAGGAACATCTCCCACTAGCCCAGGTCACTCCGAGCCCTGCCCAACATGGCCTTGGACACTTCCAGGGTAGCTCCAGGTAAGCCTCTATTTCCAAATCCCAACCTTCCCAGCTATAAAGAAGATGCAAAACCATCCTGTTAGAAAGGTCTGGAAGTTGGAGGCAAGCTGGAAACAAATGCACTTCAAATGAGTGGAAAGCATGGAATCATCTGTTTGTGAGGCACCATCCCTGCCAGCAGCAGTACCTGGAACTCGAGCTGCACCCCTGGAGATGGTTCTGGGCTGAGTGAGGAGTCCCCTTGGCATGTCCCGGCGTGGGAGAAGCAGCTCCGTGAAGCAGAGCAGATGTGCTGGGTCTCCACCCTCCAGAGAACGCTCCCCGCCGGCAGCGCGACACAACCCCGCGGGTCAAGGTCAAGTTGTTGGCAGCTGCATCCCTGCCGAGCCGAGCCAAAGGGGCATAACCCCCTCAAAAAACCCACCAGAATCCCTCGTCTCCGCCGTGCCGCCGGGCCAGAGGGCAGCGGGCTGTGGTTGGCAGCCCGCGGGGTCCCGGGGGAAGGGGCGGCCGCGGGCGGGCAGCGATGCCGGGCTGCTCCTCCGCCCGCGGGTGCGCAGCCAATTGGCGGGGCTGGAGCAGCGACACATGAAATATGATAATTTTCTGCCGAACAGGAGGAGGAGGAGGAGAGGGGGGGAGAGGGAGGGCGGGAGAGCCGCTGGCTCCCGATGGTTCGCATGCCGGGGGCTGCCGAGAGGAGCGGCCCGAGCGGAGCCGCCGCAGCCCGGGGATGGCCCCTCGCTCCCCGCTCCCCGACCAGGACGATGCCGATGCCACCCAGGTGGGCCGGGCGCCGGTGGCACCAAGGGGACGCTGCCAGGGGGTGCCAGGCCTGGGGGACCCCCAGCTTTGGGGACTTAGTGGCAGAGCGTTGTCCCCCCGGGAGGCTGTGCCGCTCACCGGCGCTTTGCGGTGCTGGTTTAGTGGAGGGCTGAGCTTTTTTTTTTTTTTTTTTTTTTTTTTTAAAGGGGGGCTTTGGTGGGGTTTGCTAAAAACCCCGAAATCCCACTCCTGGAGGAACGCTTTAATGCTGTGCCAGGGCTGCTCGGTTCAAACTTCGCAGCCTGATCCTTAGTTTGATGGGAAGCACTTGACAGAGCTCCTCTCTGCGTGTCATTAACCCTCTCACACCCCCGCCTGGCACGGAAACTGTTAATCCCTAAAATTCACTCGCAACAGATTTAACCCTGACAAGGAGCGACCGTAGAACTCCCGGCATGGCATCCAGCAGCTGTTCATTTTTATAATGACTTTGCATTTATCCCAGAGCTGGGTGGCAAGTTTTCAGATCATTATTATTATTATTTTCCCAAAGGCGAGGGGGACCTATTAAAAAAAAAAAAAAAAAAAGAAAATAATCCTACAATAATCTTCCTGAAGCAAAGCCGTGAGTGCAAACCACGCTCCCCCTGCTCCGGCTGTGCCGTCGCTGCCGCTTTATTAATTTCTCTGCGCCGTGAGTGACAGTCCTCCAGAAGTGATAATTGGTGCACTGTGTCTTTAAAAGGTTAAAACCCTTTTCAAAAAGGCCTAGACTCATAGTGGGAAAAGACAAGAGAGGCTTTGGCTGGCTTTGGATCCAGAAAACAGCTGCTGATTAGAGTCTGCGTCTTCGGGCTGAATTTATTACATATTTTTCAGCAGCAGGGATTCTAGGAGGAAGCTTCCGTTTGGGTTTCTTGCTCGTGGTTTATTTTTATTCAGAGGAATAACAGAGGAAGGATTTGTTCCGGCTGGAGCATGCTCACAACCTGCAAGACCTCCCATTATTAAACTGCCTACTTTGGGCTTTAATATACATGGAGTGTTTTTGTTATTATTTTTTTATTTTTATTATCATTCTTATTGTTTTGGCAGGGGGCATCTCTCTGTTTTTTTTCTTTTATTATCTTTTTTAAATAATTTATTTTGAAAGGAAGCTGATCTCGTAATGAGCTTTCTCCTTCCTCACTTGAAACAGGTGCTAATGAAAGAATGCAAATAGCACCGGCTGAGCCGAACATTTCATAAAGAAGGGAACAGCCACCGACCCCAAAGGCTCCGGGATCTGCCCGCCGGCCCCCACCAAAGGTAGGCGCGGGGGCTTTTGTCGCTATTTTTGTTGTTCTCTGCGTGGATATTCGCTCGGGTTTTTCTTTCCCCCCTCCCTCGCTGCGGCCGGCGAGATTCCATTTTGCCTCCCGAAAGGTGTCAGGTTGCCACGGGGCGCGCTCGGACGCTCGTATTCCCGATGGATACGGCGCCTGGATCGCTGGGTGGCCGCGCCTGGAGCGATGGGCGAGCGCTGGGCAAGCCCGGCGGTGTCACAGCCCAGCCCCGGAGCCGCGTCCCCGCCACGCTCGCAGCTACTTTGCCGCTTAATTAGCGCTGGCTGTCGCATGAATTTATCGTCGCTTGACAGCAACTTCATTTTCTCCCAACGTGCCGGGAGAGAGAGGATGGTTATTTTAGCGCTGGCGGGTGGGAGGCAGCGCTGGGGGCGGTGGGAGGGAGGGAGGGAGCGAGCGCCGGCTGTGTGACAGCGACGTGTGACAGGGACCCGGCCGTGCGCAGGGACACGCGGCTCCCGGGGCATCCCAGCCACTGCGGCGCTGGAAAAATGGACATGTTGCTCCACGGGGAGCCTGGTCCTCCTCCCGGAGCCGGTGCCCGGGGCCTGCTCCGCTTCCCAAGCTGCGTTCGCGCTCCCTGCGGAGCGCAGGCGGCCGTTCCGCGGTGCCACAGCGCGGGGACAGATGTCACAAAATAATACCCCGAGCCTGGTTTTAACTGCTGAATCCCCGCACAAAGCGGCGGGGTTTGCACCCCCTGCCTGATCTGATTTTCCTGAGGTAGGGTCTGGCGTTCAGGCATCCTCCTGCCGAGGTGGGTGCTTTGGGGAGCCCGAGTTTCCAGCGGAGGCAGGAGGAGGATCCGCAGCCCATGCGGTACCTGCCCGCGGCTCCCGCCGGGGCTCCGGCTTTGCTGCCGTGTTCCGACTGCAGTGGCCTCTCCGAGGGCCAAATCCGGCCCTCCTCGGGATCATCCAGCTCCTGCGGCTGCATGAACCTCCGAGGGCAGGAATTAGCCCTTTGTCTGGAAGTTCACGTTTATATTTTGCGGTGTTTACTTGTGTCGGAGCCGTGTATTTCTTTTCTCTGAGTGCATGCGGGTTATTTGTAGATTTTTCTCCTGACTGTTGAGGGAGGGATCTGCAGAAAAGTTTACCCCAATTAACTGTGGGAGCTGAGGGTGGGCAGCACATGAAATAAAATGCTCATTTTATATAAACAACCCCTTGAGGCTTCCTAGAAAGAGAACTTGTGAAGGTCTAACCTGACAGAGGAAGAGTAACCAAAACTCAGCACGAAGTCTATGCCCCCCTTCCCAAAATCAGATAATTTTTAATTAAGAGTTCGATATGGAGGTGTGTGCAGGAGAATAGGATTAAAATCTGGAGCCAGTGGGGGGGAATATCCCTCTGCACCTGGTTTTGGTGGGGCTGGGAGCACCTCGAGTCCCCTGACCTCCTGCTCTGCCAGGAAACACAAATCCAAGTGCTGCTGGGTGCTGGCAACCCCCAGCCTCGTGCTTTGGGATAGGAAGGACACAGATCTTTCCCAAACCTTCCTCTCCCTGGTGCTGAGGCCACTGGTCCTGTGGGACCGTGGTTTCCCCCTGTTTTCCACGGGAAGGAGCGTGTCCAATGCTACTTTATTTTTCTTTTCCTTCTGGAGATTGCAATCCTTCCAGCTGCAACAAAATGTGTGTGTGGGGAGGGGGGGGTTGGTCTTTATTCCTTGCTCCTTTGGATGAGCCTTGTGTGCCTGGCTCTCTGCTCAGCACTACCATGCCCTGCTCCTCTCCAGTGCCAACCTCTCGCTCTGCTGGGAAAGGGAAACGTTTTGGATGAGAAACCTCCCCAAAAAAATGCCCAAATGGGTGGTAACTACGGAGAGAGAGGATGGGAAGGGTGGTGTTTTTTTCCCCCCTCTCAAAGGGCACGGGCTTCTGCTGTGCCACAAAACCCTGTGAGCACTGCCCAGCCCAAACCCTCATCCAGCAGTTTGGGCAGCACACGGTGGATTTTGGCTCAGCTGGCACCAGAGCCAGGGGGCTTCTGTGCGGGGGTGGGGGCATCTGAGTCCTGCCAGGAGTTGCTCTGTTGGGAGATCTCCCATCTTAGGACTGGTGGGGGTTGGTGGCTCTGCTTCACTGACTTTTATCCTTTCATCACCTCCTGAAGAAAGGGAAATGAAACTGTTGTTCTCCCAGGCAGCACCGGAGTTTGGCTCATCTGACAATATCATGCTTGTGAAGGATTCTGTGCGTTATTTTCCTTGTAAGGGATGCTTTGCTTTGCTTGAAACAGTTGTAAAACTCCCATAAACACGTCTAACATGCAAGGTCGTGGCTTCCAAATGGCTCTCCAGCATCTTGGCCCTTCCCTGGCGATGATTGTGGCTGGCCTGTCGTGGAGATGGGAATATTTGCTGGCAATTGAGACAGCTGCTGATGGGCCAAGAAGTTTTATGGAGCCCTGGAGGAGCCTCCTGGGTCAGAGTGATTGAAGGCCTCCTCCTCAGGTGCACTTTAATTCTGGATTTCCACCTGAGCCAGCAATTCCCAGAACTGTATCTCTGTTCATGGTGTGGAGCTGGTGAGGAAGGGATCAGTGCCAGGAGAGCAGGAACACACTGTTGACCTAAACCCATGATTTTTAATTGGACTAGCTGTGAGTGAATCTTTCTGCCTCGTGCTGGTAGGAGCACAAACAACTCCAGATTTTTTGGGGGCTAAAAAAATCTCTCTTTCATCCGTGTGAAGCTGAATCTCTGCAGTTAATGCAGTTGTATAATGTGGGATACAGGGATGCACCAAGGAGCAGCAGAGCCCCACTCGGATTTATTTGCCTGTTTAAAGGTGTGTGTTGCCATCTGAAAAGGATCTTCAAAAATATTTCAGAGGGCTGGTGGTTGCTCACCCATATTTAACCCCATTTCTGACCTTACTGCAGAGGGGGTGTCGAGATTCATGGGCCAAATCTCCTCATTTAGGTCTTTAAAAAGCTCAGAAACTTTTATGCCAAGAATGGAAACATCCCAGCTCTGTAAGCTGTGGATTTGCTCCACTCTGATCTCGGTGGTTCACTGGGGTGGGGGGGACCAGCCTGGCCTTTTTTGTTCCTATTTAACCTTTCTGGGTCTTACTTTTTCTCCTGTCTGGGAAACAGGGAGGAGGGAGGGGGAGCTGCTTGGCCAAGATCTCAGTGTGAGTCCCTGGCAGATTGAAAATACCAGTAATAAGTTTTGACTCTAAGCTCCAACTGCAGACAGCAGCACTCACTGGGGTTGTGGTTTTTTTATTTTTTTTTTTTTTTAGATCATTATTTGCTGGGTGGACTCTGGTGCTGTAGGGAAATGCAGGGGGGAAACATATTTTCCTGAGTGGGTAATCCCTGTAGCTCCATGTAATTTTTTGCACTGAAGAGAAGCCCCCAGAGAAGCTCCTGGGGGAGTGGCTGCTCTGGTGGGGGTGAATGTCCCAACTGGCTGCTGGTTGTGGGGGCTGGGATGATTTAAGCAGGCACGTTGCACGTGGTGTGGCCAGTTTGGTCTCTCAGGGGGGGCTGTGTGTGTGCAAACCCTCATGTCCAGGGACATGGGATGCTGCTGGAATCCCCAGGGAACCCAGAAATAGCTGCTGGGATGGTCCCCAGGAGGAGCCCAGCTGCTGGTCCCAGCCTAGGGCTGGATGGGATGTTGTGACCCAGGATGCCCCCATGACCCTAATCCTGGTTGATCTGCAGCTGGGAGAGGAGGATCCCACAGCCCTGCTGCTCCAGGCTCTCTGCATGGCAATCCCACGGGGATTCAAGTCCTTGGGATGGGTTTTCCACCCCTGGAACAGCCCAGGTTTCCAGGGCAGCACAGAGACCTTGCCCTCCCCTCGCTCCCCCACGAGCCCTCTCGTGGCTCTGGAAGCTCCTGCCATGGGACACGTGGGCACCTCGGAGAGGAGCTTGGTCAAGAAATGCCACGGAGGAGAAAAACCACAGGTGTCTGTCTGGAGCATCTCCTGCCTCCCTGGGGGAAGGAGTGAGGGCTCTGCTGACTCACAGCCCTGGCTTTGGAGCGGGGGGTGCCGATGAGTAAAGCCTGAAGTGAGGAGTGATGCACTGGCAATCAGTCACCCCAGAAGGGATGACTCCTAAAGTGCCACTGAGAAAGGCAAGTGCTGCTCGTGGTGATGTCAGGGATGATTTCAGAGTCCTTGAAAATGTGTCTCAGCTCCAAACAAAACTTCTTACCTGTTTTGTGTTGTGTTTTTTTGTTTTTTTTTTTTTCTTTAGTTGTCTTTCAGGGTTTAAGCGCATTTTTTACATCACAGTGGGGCGTTACTGCTAAAGGATGGCTCTGAAAACAAAAGGTCTGGGTGTTTGAAATAACCAAAAATCGAGTTTTACATGGAATTTTATAAATGCTCAAGTGCAAAAGAGCAGGTTCCTGGGACAGGCTCAGCTGCACAAGCATCATACCAGTCCCAGAGCCTCTAACCCTCATCCATCCCATGGTTTCAAAGGCATTTCCAATCCCCACCAGCCAATTCCCCTTTACCTGTGTGTTTTAGTCCATGAAAACAATTTTTTTCATCCCTTCTCTTGTTTATTGTGGCCTTTACCTGGTTCTGGGTTGCTTTCCAGAGTCCCTGCAGCCCCGTCCTTCGCTGGCACGTTCACATTCACCCCAGTTTTGGAGCCACTTTTTGGTTGCTTGGACTCGTATTTTCAATTTATTTTATTTTTTTTTCCCCCTGTAGTTCTGGCATCAGACTGAATTTCATGGGAGGGTGAAAATCAGTGAGACAAACAGATTGTTTTGTTTTTAATGGCTGTTGAAAAGCAGCTTGGCCAGGTTTCTGCTAAAGACTCCTTGCTGCAAGGAAGGAATTCTCCAGACAATCCAGTGCAGCAGGGATGTCCCCAGCAAGCACAACACAAACCTTACTGATAGTTTGATTAGAGCTTTGATTAAAGTTTTGATTAATTCATTGGACAGTAAGGGAAAAAAAACAAACTCTGCTACCTGGCA